ATTAGGTACTTAGTAGTTGGGACATCCACCAGTCTATTAGTCATTTTGTACATCATGCATAGTCTGGACATCTTTCTTCTGTCTTCCAGTGAGGCCCACTGTAGGTTTCTTTTCATTTCCGTGACACTAGCACCTCTTTCATAGTTGTTCATACAGAATACTTTGTACATACTTTGTACATTTCCCTTTCATTGGTAATTTTGTGTTAAAACACAATCTCTGTGCTACAGTCTGATGTCCTACAGTGAGCAGTTTGGTGACTATGAGCCCTTCCTGAGCCCCCCTGAGCCATCCAACCCCTGGATAACTGATGACAGTTCCCTGTGGGAGCAGGACAAGATGGGAGAGTAAGACTGACTCCTGAATTGGCTGATTTACTGCACAGCACAAATTGCAAACAAGGAGGGCATTGTACCTTATCACCCAAGAACAATACATTGCAATCAGAAAAGCTTCTATTATTGATTTTTTAATCCCAGATAGCAAGGATGTATGGCCCATTAAGGAAGGTCAGGTATTTTTGGAAATAATCGATAAGCTATAATTGATGGTCAGATTTGTTTGTGGTGTATTGATTGATTGCCCAGGAACAGGGAGATCCCTGGCAGGAGAGTCAGGAAATGGGGCCTGTCATTTGACGAGCTGTTAACGGACCTGGCGGGAAGAGAGCAGTTCCTCAAGTTTCTAGAGAAGGAGTTCAGTGCAGAAAACCTCAGGCAAGCATGTTCTGACAGTTTTTCACCAGTCAATTACTTTACTTAAACAAGTACTTCCTGATCCATGAACCATGTTTAATGTTGCTCCTGTGCCACAGGTTTTGGTTGGCTTGTGATGAGCTGTATTCTGTGCCCCTGAAGGATGTAGAATCAGCAGTACAAGAAATTTACAGGTAACAATACTTTGTCTTGGATCAGGATTGTTTCCACCTTTATTGCTTTAATCTGTGCTGCACTGTGTAAGTCTGGAGGGTTCCTTGTGCCTTTGCTTCAGTTGACAAACATACCATGGTACAATGCAGCTTTGTGTTAAAGTATTTTGACTATCACATCATATTCCCAACACTGCTGTGTATGAGACATATTGAAGCGTCAAAAAAGTTAAGGTTTGCAGTAATTTCTGCGCATATGTCAAGGTGATGCAACTCTTCTCCAAGTAATGGTCTGTTGAAAGTAGTTAACTTGTCTGTTGTGTTGTGCATAGTGAGTTCCTGGCTCCAGGCTGCCCAAGCCCTATCAATGTGGACTCCAAGTGCCAGGCCATTGCCAACAAGAACATGGAGAAACCAAACAGATACACTTTTGATGCCTGTATGGTAAGTACTGGTTCAGTGTCATGACTGTAAGATTCAAGGTTGGTTCAATGATCAATTTTCAAACATTAATATTCATATTCTCTCTGTACAGGAGCACATCTATAATCTGATGAAGAGTGATAGCTACCGACGCTTCATACGATCACAGCAGTATAGGGACATGCTTCAGACCAAAAAGAAGGTATGTTTGTGTGAGGGGGGGTCTAAAATGTAGCAGGCTAGCAGCTATAAAGTACCTAGTCACAGGTTGGTTATTCTACAAGTAATACAAAATACAAAATTTATGATAGCAATTCATGGACATCAGCAGATTGATCTCTCCCATTCCTCATGATGAAGTGATTATTTTACAATCTTTTATCAGATGGCAAACCTGCAGCTACATGTAGTACTGTGAATCCATTTTTGTTTTGAAACCATGCACTACAATCCTGAATCTGGCATTGCACTGAGACATTTGCAGAAAGCTCAGTTCCCTACATTCAGAGCAATGTGTACCAGATTCCTCATATGTGTGCAGAAAATGTCCTATGAAACAGCAACCAAACTTGATGATACTTTGATGAAGATGTTTTTCCAACTGTAATGTGGTATTCCTACTCAAAGGAACCAAAAGTTATGTGGCAATCAATTCTCCTTTGTTTTCCAGTCTGGTGCTGGAAGTGACAAACAGTGGTCTCTTGTTCCTGCGGCATTGGGAGGCAGGAATCTGGTCGCCAAACTCCCCAGTCTGCCCAACAGGAACATGGATGGGGAAGTTCTTGGAGAACTCAGCTCCAGTGGCAACCAGTGGTCACTGCGCAACAAGCAGCCAAGTACAAGTGCAGCCAGCTCCAGCTCTGATGGCTTATAAGTAGAGTAGTCCAATTGCAGTCAGCATTGAGCAAAATAATGTTAATGGCCATATATGAAACTGGTAAACACATAGCCAGTGGTACTCAATGTCCCCAGCATTGTTCCCTTAACACTTCTCTACTGGTACTTGCACCAAAAGCAGTTCCTTAGTTTGACATGCAAGTTGTGTTTTGCTTCAAGGCAGCATAACACAAAATTTTCAATACTCTCTCTCAGCAAGAACTACATGTATTTCTCTGTTGTGAATCATTCTAATGTAAGGAACTATCTTGAATTTTATTTTGAAAAAAAAAAACAACTCTGTTTCAACTGTTCTGACAACAAACCTGCTGCTGACACCAACAAACAGATTGTTGTGTGATATAGAACCACTAAACGACGGAAAACAGACCTTGAATATAATTTACTGACACCAACAGTATATAGAGTAAGTGGTGTGATGCTCTTTAGAGATTAAAATCATCATCTGCTGAATATGATTGCCTTCTTGCCAAAAATAAGCAAACAGTGGGAACATGTTTAACTTTAAAAACTATACACGATGTACATATATTATTCTTTAACGTTGTAAGTGTTGCTGAACTGTTCACTCACATCTCCTGAAGCCAGTGACCTACACTTCCACGAGTCTCGTCAACTACAGCCGGCAAAATACTTGAGAGAAGGGACAGCTAGGAATTGGAACTGAGAATTGTACAACAGTTGAAAACAACTACAGCATTGTAAACTTTCTCTACACAATTATTGTAAAGTAAAGAGAGAGAGACAGAATGGCAACATGTAATGTATAGACAATATATTTATCAATGTACAGTGTAATATAGCTGTTAACATATAGGCATGAATGTTACAGTACAGCAGATAAAGTGTGGCAATGGATATGAAGGTGCAGTTAGCTAGGTTTGTATGTTCTTTGTATATGTCAGTGTTGAGAGGTGTGAACTTTGTCGAGAGGTATCAATGAATTTTTGAGCATACAGAACATTCCAAGTGATGTTATATACATGTGGGGCCAGGGAGGGGATGTAAGATGTCAACTGTATGCCATTTATGGGTGTCACATTGTGAATATAGTGTTTCTGCCACTACAGATGCTCATGTGCACAAGTTTGCTGACATTGATGATACAATCATGTATACCCTTGTACTCCTCACCAATGGTAAACATGGCAAAAAAAAGTTATCCTAAATGTCTATCTCAAAATCAATGGATTAAAAGTAAGCTATATGTTTCGTACAAAAAATAACTGTTGGAATGATAACATCATTATCAATGGTGGGGACAAAACTTCACCAAATACATATACATCATGGACAAAATCTGATCAATCTCCGGAGAGAAATCAATCTCTTGGAGTTCTCAAAGATGGCTGTAGGATAAGTTTGCAAAGCTAGATGCACTTCTGATGCAGCAGAGAAACTTGACAATCATAAATGATAGACATTATGTACTTGTAAGTTGTAGTCAGCTCAGTGTCTGTTTTGTAACATGGATGACTTATAAACTACACCAAAATCAACCAGTTGATTCTGCAGTGATGTTGGAACAGTCTTTTCCCTTTTGGCTGATAAATTTCTCCTTAAAATTAACAATCAGACAGCATGTACAATTTTGTAAATACTCACCTTGCAATTCACTTAAAGCACCAGCACATTATGGTTGATTAAGTGGATAGTGATTTTAGGGGAAGATAGGTAGTTATCAATGAGTTACCTCATCAATGACCTGCATGGTAAATGTACCAGCAACAACACCTGGTGAATTGTTCATAGGCTAATTATAGATGTCCATTAACTGGAAATATTTGCATTGAGGACTTCATTTTACATTTTGACATGGAAACCGAATGTATTTCCAAATCAGCAAGGATGTAATCAATAGCCTTTTGCTATGTTATTGGAAATGAGTTATTTATTTAATAAAAAAAGTATCTGATTACAATAGATATAACATGATAGGTATAAGGAGGAATGCTGAGAGTAGAAGCTGGAGTTGTCTTGCAGTTACAGACTTGAAACCTCAGATATAATTACCTTCGCCAAGAAGGTTATGTTTTCAGTAGCGTTTGTCCGTCTGTCTGTCTGTCTGTCTGTGAACAGCATAACTCAAGAAGCTTAGTATGCATTGTCATGAAACTTGGCAGGTGGTAGGTCTTGATGAGACCTAGAAATGATTAGATTTTGGGCCTCCTGGCGGCTTTTGTTGGTACTGCAGCAGAACTTCCGGTTTTCATATCTCGCGATCTGGACATGCTAGGGTCACGAATTTTGGTTGGTAGATAGCTCTTGGGGTAGGGAAGAAGTGACATGAGTTTGGGCCCCCTAGCGGCTTGTTCTGGAACTGCAGGAGCATTTGTTGAAAAATTTTCGAAGGATGATAACTCAAGAACCGGTTAATGGATTGTCGTGATTTTTGGTATGTAGGTAGCTGAAGGGATGTTTGACATAATCAAATGACAATTATGCAAATCAGGAGCTAATTTACATAATTAATGAGGAAATTCTATAAATCTGCTTTGTTCGATAATAGGACTATGAAACACTTGTGACATGTAATTGAGAATGAAAAAAACATCTGAGGATATAGATTATGTAAATGAAGACCTAATTTGCATAATTAATGGAAAATTGTTATAATTTCATAGTTGTAACTGCTGGGAATTTCATACTTGCCACATTTGGAAGTTAAGTGAAGGCAAACATCAATAAACATAATTTATTCAAATCATGACCTCATTTGCATAATTTATGAGGAAGTGCTATAATAGCCTTTTTGTTAAGATAAGACTGTCATTGGGTGGAGAATATGATCAACTGATATAACCCATGCAAATTAATGAGGATCTTATTGCAAAATCAATTATGAAAATTGTATAATTCTTCAACCGCAAGGGTTAACATCATTTGGCGAAGGTATGAGATCGTGGAACTCTTGTTTAAACATATATCAGATATCATTTTAAAGTGCTTTACAGGCTTGACTTGGAACTGGGAACTCCTTTTGTTGATACTTGGTGAATGACTAGCCTGATACAAAATCTACCCCATTATTTTTCTCCACGCCCATTCTGTTAGCTGAATGCTTCAAGAGGCTAATGTGGCTGCATCAGTTTCTTATGGCTTCAGTTGCAATTATCAGATGTTTCAGAATATATCAACAAAGATCTAACACAAGCCCAGCACATTCCCCTGACTGATAAGGTTGCTGTATGTGTCAGCTTTAAATTAACCATGAGGATTTCTATAAATTTTCGGTTGGAAACATCCTGTATATTACATACTGTGGGGGCTCGACCATGAATACTATATTCAAAGGGTTATGGCTTTGGTTGGCATGTTTTCCATTGTACATGTATGTGCATACAGCTAGTTCCAGAAATCTGTACAGTGTAAAACTGTATTACCATTTGTAATACACAAGGTGCACAAATATCATTTACTACAGTTAACTGTAAAAGAGACCAATGGGTAGCCAACTCAAGAAATTACAACCATAGCAATTTTCCAACCCAAAGAAATAACTTCCATATGAAGCTTGACTAAAACGTGTTGATAGAAACAACACACATAGAACATTACAATGCAATACAAAGCTAATAGCTACCCGTGCTTGGTTCATATCAACTTTGTGGCTAACTGGCTTTATGCTCTTAAGTTATCAAACTATTAGGATAAAAGTATGTCTCCTTTGATCACGTCAATCTGAATACTAGTACTTTTCAAGTCTGATATGTACAGTTACATGTACTTTCTGAAGGTTATGTGACACACAGAGAAGGAAAAGATTACACAGTCCCTAGAGAAATAATGCCTTCTTTGCATGTTTGTGTATAATAACAGTAGAAATTCAATTATACATTATTGTGTTCATAGTCATGGATGAAATTCTGTCACTCTGTGTCTCAACAACATTACTGGAAGATGACATCTTAATCTGTTGATTAAGGCTCTACCATACTAAGATCAGGCCAGACCAATTTAATTTGTTGGTTCTCAGATTTTTTCAGAAAAAATATGAAGCGACAGGGCGAAAAAAAATAAAAATAAAAACAGGTCCAGGCATCCTATTATAGGCTTAAATGCTACGAAATGAGCCATGAAGTCAACACAAAAGGCTGGGTTGAAATTTAAACATTGAATTTTGAACTTTTAATCAAACCACTGCAATGATAGATGGGAAAACTGTAACAACTAGGAAGAAAAGGACTTTCCTCAACTGTTTGGGGCAAAACATGAGC